CAACGGTACTCTACGTCCTTCCAAAACTTGTTGTCCCAAATTACAAGAGATAAGATTGGCGTTGACAGCACTACCCTTGGCTCCAGAAACTGTCATATTCTGCATCTGGTTGTGCGGGAATTGCTTGACCAAGCCTTGGGGAAGGCATGCATTAGTAATAGAGGTAGAAAGCTTTCCGGCGCGAGCGTTCATCAACGCATCTAAACCTGCTTGTTTAGAATCGTCTCTCATGACATCCTCCAATCTGTTGAGCAGCTCTTGATCTGTTTCGGTAGGTTTTTGGTCTTCGAGAGAAACGTACTTAGCAGCCACCTCAAGACCAATCTTACTAGCATCTGACAAAGTTTCGATACGGGTTTTCTCGCCTTCGGGGGTGAGCCTGAGATCATCCATTCCGCAAGTGAAAGCCCTCATATGGAGATACTTTGTCAGTAAACGACCAAGAATACTGAGAAGCTTTCCAGCTGTGGCAGGGCCATAGACCTCGTGAACAGAGTGGATGAGACCACCTCCAGCAGGACCGATCTGTGCTTTGTCCAAAATTCCAGTAATGAATTCACCACCCATAAAGAGTACAACGCCTTCCTCCGAATCCACACCCCATCGATCAGCTGGAGTTTGTGTTTTTCCTGTAAGAGATATGGGGGCGCAGTTGAGAGGTGTGATATTTTTTAATATTGTTGTGATGACCTGCTTTCCAGTCCAGCGTGCGACAGGTTTGATGATTGCAGGTGGCACAGTCTCGATGCGTTCGCCTACAATGTGCCCACTTTCTGGGCGAATACAATTATAGATAAGTTGCTGATAGGTAGCTCGATCAAAGTATGTATCTTTGTTACACATCCAAACGGAAACGGAAATATGATCTTGAATCAAGCCTCTTAGAGGTTTACCAGCGGTTGCACTCAGATATTGGTGATCAGTGTCAGCAATCTGTAGCGCTTCTGCGCGAGCAACTTCGGTTTGTGGAAAATGCATGTTCATTTCGTCTCCATCGAAATCAGCGTTATAGGTATTACAGTTGGCGTAGTGCATGCGAATTGTCTTCTCTCCTGGAAGTACTCTGGCTCTGTGACCCATAATCGAGGGCTTGTGCAGAGTGGGTTGACGATTCATGAGCACAACATCTCCGTTAGTAAGATGTCGATAAACTTTCTTGTTGCGAGCACCGCTGGCTCCATTGCTAGACGATGCAAGCAACTGGTTCGCTAGTGCCATTCTTTCGTCCTGTGTCTTTGAGCGTAGATTAATGACTTGCCCATTCTCGTTTTCAATTGCAGCAGCACCAGGCCATTTGTCGACACCATTAATAACTGCTTGCTGCATTTCCTTAAAGTTATGACTGGTGACAGGTTCTGGGTATGTGAGCTTCTTGGCGAAAACAGGGGGAACACCGATTTCGTTCGTTTCGATATTTGGGTCTGGAGAGATGACGGAACGAGCAGCAAAATTGACACGTTTACCCATCATGTTCTTTCTGAAAAGACCCTCCTTTTTCTCCAATTTTTGCTTGATGCCATCTTCGTTCTTCTTTCCAGCTGCACCTTGAATAGGATTTCGATCTCTATCGATCAAGGAATTAACAGCGTCCTGCATTGAACAACACGCTTCTTGGAGGTCAAAGAAATCTCTCTTTCTCAATGTTTGGCTTTGCGACGGCCTATCGGGATTCTGGATATCGAGGTAAATTTGGTTCACAGTATCAGCACTCTTCAAGATCTGCTTGTACAGTGAATTTTGTTGTGCTTCGGCAATTTCGCCATCTCCTGTCTTCGCTTCGGGGCGGTATCTATTTGGGGGGACAAGAAGTGTCTGTAGGAAGAACATATCTACTTTAACCGCGGATGGCTTCTTGGCGGATGATCGGGAGTTGTAAACAAGGGACAAAATCTCTTGCTCTTTTTCGAACAGCAATGTCAGCGATGCTTTGACTTCCATAACATCAACGTATCGTTGTGGTAGTGGTGCGACTCTAGGTTTAGAGCTTTGAGTCGCGGAGCCATCCATGACCACATCCCCATCCACATCAAGGCTTTCGCCTTCTCCTTCATCCTCATCCTCGTTGGATTCCAAGTCGATATCTGCAATGCCTTCGTCGCCATCCCGATCTTTCTTCTCGCCATGAACCAATTGAACGGCATTCACAGCTCGATAGCTGCCTTGAGCCATCTTGGCCTTATCTTTGACACTCAAAGACTTTTCGAAAATCTTTACATATCGGTCCTTGCGGTACGTTGGAGATATACCTTGACAGTTTCCACATAGCCTTCCTGCAGTTATTGCTTTCATGAAGCTCTTAACTACAACTCGGCGGGCTTCAGCCACACCTTCATGCTTTTCCCTTCTCCATTCCCATCCAGAGGCCTTAGCGGCCTTGAGCTCCTTTTTGACAAATGCAAGTCGTCTTCGAATGACACCATCGACTGGAGACTCGTCGTCCGAATCACTAGCAGGCTCTTCTCCTTCCTTTGGCTGAGCGACTTCGATATTTTCAATCTCCTCGGCGGCACTCAGCAGACCATGTTGAATCAGGCGCAACTTGCAAACATATCGATTGACCTCCTTGCGCGACATCCTGAACTGATGACAATACTTGCATTTTGATCGCAATAATCGCAAAACTTGGTCCATAAAAGTTGGGTGGTAAACGGGTGCGGGTAGGTCGATATGGCCTGCATGACCCGGGCAGGAAAAGGAACTGAGATTACATGTTGTGCAGCTTTCTAATGTTAGCATTCTTTGCAATTGACTGGATACATTGCTTACTTGTTGTCACCCCATGCGCCTAAAGCTGGATCATAAAGACCTCCTGGAACTGGGTGAAGAAGACTATCAAAAGTAACAGGATTCTCTATCCTCTTTACAGAGAGAGATTTGATCTCAGCGGTAGAAAGAAATGCGAAGTCAACGCTCTCAATGGCTGACGGAACTGGCTGTGAGATATTCATTGTAGTTGGCAGTTAACGCTAAAGCAGGAATACTGCCATAGGTTTTTTGATTAGATTGGAAATTTGCGATTCCGTAGAGTTCGCAAGTTGAAGCTTGAATGTAGATACAAAAAAAAAGTTCCTTTCGTCGGGGAAACCTTTTTTTTCGCCGACCCCCGGTGCTGATAAGGCAGCACGATAACCCCATCTGCTGATCACGTGATGACTAAAGTGCTAGGTTTTTGGTACGGCCAGCCAGAGCTCCCTCATGATTCGCGTGTGAGCACTTAACGATTACGATATTTCAGGATCACCAACTTGGTGTATGTGTGCCATATACTTCTTTTACAATACACAATTGACAAACATATATTTTCGACAACATGGATCGAGGGAAAGCCTCTCCAATTTTGGCACCTCGACATGATTCCTCCAGCCGTGTTGGCAAGCCAGAGTCTGCTGCCGAGAAGCTCGCATCTTTAAAAGCTAGAGTCGCAGCTGCAGTCGGTGGTAGCAAGGCAAAGGGTGGGTTAAATGTTGGTTTACATCCTATGCTTGCGAAAGGAGGTTTGAATGTCGATCTTCACCCAGCGCTACAAGACCTTGGACAATACAAGCCCTCAAAATCAACTGCGCCTAAGTTCGCAACCAGCATCGGAAATGCACGCCCTCAACAAGAGAAGGCGACGGCAAAGCCTAGGAAACAACTCGATATTTCGGGGCCTTCGACGGAAGAGATCCGCAACAATCCATACTTTGATATGAGCCTAGGTGGGCAAACAGCAACGCCAAAGAACCGACACTCGAGACAACTAGTTTTCAACCAGAAGGGAAAGTATATAGCACAAGCAAATGCACTTCGAAGACAGGCCGCCCTAGAGGCTATGAAAAAGCGTATCGCCGAGTCTTCGCGGAAGATTGGTATTGACGAAGATATCGACACTGAGAAGAAATTCCTCGTTGAAGCACCGCCCGAAATTGAATGGTGGGATGAAGGCCTGGTAGATGGCAAGAACTATGACGATATTTCGAATTCAAAGACACTCAAAATCGGCACCCCAGACTCAATTATTACAGAATATGTTCAGCATCCCGTTTTACTTGAACCGCCTCAAGAAAAGAATGCGCCTGCGCCTAAACCTATGTTCCTGACCGCGAAAGAGCAAGCTAAACTACGGAGACAGCGTCGAATGGCTGAATTGAAGGAACAGCAAGCAAAGATTAGACTTGGATTAGAGCCCGCACCGCCTCCAAAGGTCAAGAAGGGAAATCTTATGCGTGTATTAGGAGAAGAAGCTGTCAAGGATCCAACTGCAGTCGAAGCTCGTGTCAACCGAGAAATTGCAGATCGACACCAGAAACATGTCGAGACGAATCAAGATCGAAAGTTGACAAAAGAACAGAGACACGAAAAATTGGCTGCAAATCAGGAGAACGATGCCGCAAAGGGCATTCATGCTTTAGTATTTAAGATTGGGAGCCTTGCGAATGGTAGTCACAGATTCAAAATCGCCAAAAACGCAGAACAGCATGCTCTCACGGGCATCTGTATTCTACATCCAAGATTCAATTTAGTAGTTGTCGAGGGTGGCGAGCATAGTATCAGGCAATATAAAAAGCTTATGATGCAACGTATAGACTGGACTGAAAACTCGCCCACACGAATCAAGGAGGGTACAAAAGCAGACGCATTGCAAGATTGGTTGAAGGCAGAAGATGAGAAAGGAGAGTTGAAGGATATGACGCTGAACAAATGCCAATTGGTCTGGGAAGGAGAGCAGAAGTCTAGAGCATTCAGGAAGTGGCAAAGTAAAGTGTGCGAGACAGATAGTGCAGCTCGAGATGCCTTGACTAGGTCAAAAATGGACAGCTTTTGGACTGTGGCGAAGAGCATGAATTAGAAGTAATGGCGGTGGTTATACCTTTTTATTATTAGAGCCCTACCCCAGAATTAGATACCAAATGAACCAATTTATTTTCCTCTCTTAGGCCACAAAGCCGCCATCGCTATCTTACAATTGTGATGTATATCCTTTCCTATACGTCAACAAATGAATATCCATCAAAGTCTACCTATGCATCTAACTGCATTAACGACGCCTCCATTTCATCATCATCCATGCCATACTCATCTTCTTTAACTTCGTTGCCATTTCTGATACCATCCATTGGGTCGCCCTTTCCACCACCTCTCAATGCTTGAAGCGTCTCTTCATACTGCTTCTCCTTGAATTTCTCCAGATCCTGCAAGCTCCACGTGCTGATCCCCTCCTGATCCTTGGCCTTGAATGGCTGTGCCATATTCCGTAAAAATTTCTTCGCACTTCCTACCGCCATATCCGTACTCAAATTGACTTCACTATCGAGAATCGCCTGGTTGATCCATTTTGGCAATTGAGTTCGCTTCTTCAAGAATCGACGATCGGCCAATACCATGATTCCGTAATCATCTTTCCCTCGTAGTACACGTCCCAAACATTGGGCTGCATGTCTCATGGCATCGAAGGATAGGAAGTCATTCTCTCTGATCCGGTATGTTTCACGGAGGAATTCTAGTCGCGCTTTCAAAATTCTAGATTCGGTGTATTGGAATGGTACACCGATACATAGCACAGTGCGTCCGTATTGATGGTCGAAATCGATACCCTCACTGACTTTTCCACGAGCGACACAAAGAAGGATAGCTCCTCGTCCGTTACAGCACGCCGTGCGATAGGTCTCTAGCGCTAGAGATGTTTCTTGGGCATCAGGCGTTTCCACGAGAATAAGCTTGTATTTCCAAACCTCATCTAAAATACCCATTCCTTGCCACATACTAATTATCGACTCCATATATAAGTAGGATGGGAAGAAAACGACCATGCCATCCGGAGTAAGTTTAGACATCTCCGTTAGTAAATTGCCGTAATTACGGACAACAGCAGGCTCATTTCGAACTTGGAATCCCGAAGAAATCGCGACCTGGTCAGATCCTCTTGTGACAATCATAGGCAAAAAAGAGCGTCGAGCGAGAGTCATGGGGTAAGACTCCTGAACAACACACTCGAAATTGAGCATTTTAGGATACATTTCGAGTGGAGAAATGGTACCCGACGTGATGATTACAGAGCTGAAACGCTCAAAGACGGGCTTAATTGCTATTGCAGCATCAAGACAGGTGAAGTGAAGAACAGGATTGGGGACTTCGGCGGTTTCAGACTCATAAGGCTCAAGTATAAGAAGAAATCCCTTTTCATATGTCGCTACGAGGGTGGCAAAAGTTGCAACTTCCTGAAGTGGCTGATAGTCCTCAATGTTGGTAAGTTCCAAAGTCCGCACAAGAGATGTTAGACGTTCTGCGCAGAATCTAAGCGGCTTCTTCTCGATATATGTGTACTCTTTTAGATGAGCCAAGAAAGATGCTGGTGTCTCCGAAATAACTTGCCGGACTTTCATTCGTGTCTTCTTAAGATTAGCCGTTAGCTTTTCGATATGGCTATAGTTTTACTTACCTTGAGGTATTCGATAAAGCGTTTCAGAAAAACGACAAAATGCTCAGCTCTCCGAATGTTTCCCGGCACAGCTTCCTTGAGGAGATCATCTGGCAAAGCTAGAAAGATGTAAGTGGCTATGCTTTTTTGGTGTGAGATAGGATACAAACGAACCAGGATTTGACATGAAGGCATCTTCTGCTCGAGCTTCGTCGGCACCGCGTAGTCCCTCGACCAACTTGGCGTATTCATCCTTGAGTTTTTCTGAATCGCTATCCCTCAAGTCTGAAATCCTGCTTTCAAGATTCATTGCTCCACGAGTGGCCCTTCGAAGCGAGTCATCCGTGATATCAGTACTTAAGGATTCGATGCACACGTTATCAATATTGTGTGCTTCGTCAAATACAACTATGCAATCCTTTGACAGCTCTTTAGAAACCCTCTCGGCAATTTTGGGGTCGAGTAAGTAATGGTACGAGTAAATGATCACGTTGCAGAAGGACATCTAGTTCCATTAATTACTGAAGCTGTAAAGACATTACCACTCACCATTCGCCTGGAGGTAAAGTATGGGCATTGTTTGTGTTCCTCGCCATATCTCATTATCCCATCTAACGTCCATACTCCATTTGGTATGAGGTTATGTGGTTCGAGGAGGTCTAGGTTCTATTATGACGCGTTAATACACTGCTGACCAACATGACAACAAAAAGACCTACATCATGATAAATGCACACCGGTACATCTTCACCTCTCTCCTTCTTCTCTTTCACAAATCCAGCAGTCAAACTTCGACAGCGAGCATCCACAACAGCACCACTCTTCTCCCGCTTCACCGAAGGATGAAGACATAAGTTTTTACGACTAGTCAATCCCAATCCACGGAAATCTTCCTGGTGCCCGAGTTGTTCCGCCCTATATTTCATAAGAGCTTTCAATTCTGCCAACGCTTTTTCAATTTCGGACATAGTACCTAAGCACTCATTAATATGTCTCCTTCATCTTCAGGATTGGGCTGTGTCACGTGAGCAGTAAATGAGTTTCCGATGCTCTGGGTAGTATTGTTGATACGCAACGATCAAAGACAGCAGTGAGATAGTCTTTCCAGTACCCGAAGGCATCTCCAAAACACAATGGCCGCCGGCATCAAGCGTTCCTGTCAAACATATCAGCCGGATGATCTTACGGTGAGTAGGCAAGGGGCAAAATACTTTTCAGATCGCACATGTAGCTGATTTGACATCATACATTAGCATCGAGCGTTCTTTCTGATGTAAACTACAGCCAAGTGAAATGACATACGCATATTGTTCTATGTAACAAATCAGAATTTGGACTCAGTATCAAAATCATCTTGGATGCCTACCTGGATATATCCTAGGATATGGAAAGAGCACTGGCAAATCACTGGTTCATCTATCAGTTCAAATAAAACTTTTTTCCTATCAGATTAACAAACACATACTCAATATTGAACTTCATTTTGAAGAGGCAGCCCTGTTGGCGCTGTTGATGTTGCTGATTAAAAATGGTTGTCCTCCAGGTTGAAGTAAAATAGCCTTCTTGTAAGGCGTTGGGCTGGCTCAAAAGCGGCACCGCATCCGTGCTATTACTTCAGGCCAGGTGGAGAAGCAGTATTTCATACCAACTCAACGCGATATTTGGTACTATTATTACTATCTGAACTTTCTGGGGCATGCTTTGATTGTTATAGATTGTGTTTTTACTCTTACTGTGTGGAAAAGAAAGAGTCACCAAAATCTATTCTTTCTTCTTGAACATTGACCGTAAATGCCTACATGGGACGCCGGCGAACCCAACCTTTAATGTAGACTCTTTGACGCGTCTTAGTGGATTATTCATCAATATTACACGCCTCCACTGATTCAATCTCCAGGAACGGAACATATTCACGTTCATCCTTTGGCTGTTCCATACTTTGAACAATTCAAGCCCTGTATTCCCATTCTCAGCGTTGAAAATATACCTAATCACATTCTTCCAGCTTCGGATACCTAAATCCTCATAGATGTAAAGATTACCTCAAAGCTTGCTTTGCTTATGAGGTCCATAAGTCAACTACCCCACTTTCCGACCACCCCCTCTTTTCGACCACCTCAAAAACCACACCGCTTTGAGTAATTATAAAATTTATACTTTGAATAACTCAACAATGCTTTAATCAATTGATTTGAAATTTTGATATTATTATAATTGTGATATGAAGAATAGATATACCGAAGAAGATATCGCAGAGGCTCTTAGAGCGATTACAAATGGAGCAAGCATACGAAGAGCTAGCTTGGATTATGGTGTTCCACGTACCACACTTCACGATCGAATATATGGTGGAGTTTCGCATCAAAAAGGCGCCCAAATACTTCAAAAGTTATCTCCAATTCAGGAGAATCGACTAGCAGAATGGATATTAGTACAGGAAGCTCTTGGTACTAGCCCTACACATCGTCAAATCAGAGAGATGGCAGAGCACCTCCTTATTGTACGAGGGGAGGATCCCTCACTTGGAAAGAAATGGATACATAGCTTTTTTCGAAGGCATCCTAATATTGGAACTAAGAAGCAACATCAAATCGATTCTGCACGAGTTTCAGGTGCTACATCTGATATTATTAAGAAGTGGTTCCGGAACCTCGCAATCCCTGAAATCAAGGCTATTAAGCCGGCCAACAGATGGAATATGGATGAAGCAGGTATAATGGAGGGTCAGGGTCTTAATGGACTAGTAGTAGGAAGCACTGATCGAAGATTTATTCAAAAAAAGCAACCTGGATCTCGAATTTGGACCTCTTTTATAGAATGCATTTCAGCCAATGGAAAAAGCATTACTCCCCTTGTAATATATAAGGGAAAATCAGTTCAACAACAATGGTTTCCAACAGATTTGACTCTATTCAAGGGTTGGAACTTTACCGCTACAGAAAATGGATGGACTACAGATGCTACAGCTTTAGAATGGCTGAAAAAGATCTATATCCCTCAAACTACCCCTATTCAGCCGGAAAATTCAAGACTCCTCATTTTGGACGGACACGGAAGCCATGAAACTACAGCATTTATGTTAGAATGCTTTAATAACAACATATATCTCTTACTTCTCCCACCACATACGTCACACGTACTACAACCACTCGATTTATCTGTGTTCTCACCCCTAAAAAGTGCATATCGAATCGAACTTAATAAATTAAGTCTATTATCCGATTCCTCACCAATTGGAAAGCGCAATTTCCTTTCTTGCTATCAGAAGGCTAGAATAGAAGGTTTAACTATTCAAAATATCAAGTCTGGGTGGCAAGCTAGTGGTCTTTGGCCCAAAAATATGGCTAAACCTCTTATGAGTCGACTTTTGCTTGAAAATAGCAATAGAGAGGTTTTATCACTTAATCCTGAATCTGATGATGATCCTATTCTTCAATGGAATATATATTCATCGTTTATTCAATGGAAAACCCCTCAAAAAGGAGCCGATATCAGAAAATATAGAGATATAATGATTCAAGAGAAGGAGATCGATTTGCCAACACGAAGATTACTATTTCGCAAGATTATAAAAGGATTCGATGCTAAGGATTATGAACTCTTAGAGGCAGAGAATAAGATTAGAAAGCTAGAATATCAATTAGATGAAGCATTACCTAGAAAAAGGCGAAAGGTTGTGGTATCTCCAAATTCGAAGTTCGCAGGGATTAGAGCTATAAGGCGTACACAAATTGAAGCTGGAGATCGTGAAGATGAGGTAGATGATAGCTCTAGTGCTATAGAAAGTGATTCTACAGGCGATTTCATTGAAGTTCAATAGTTATTGAGTTATTAAAGTTTTAAGTGTAGATAATATGAATTTTTTAGGTGGTCGGAAACAGGGGGTGGTCGGAAAGTGGGGTAGTTGACTTACGCAAAGGTGAAGTGATGTTTTTTCTGAGGAGATTTTGAATGTGTAGCGTATTTTTGTAGGAGCAGGCTCTGCAGCATGGTATTCCGGAGAGAGTGCTTTTCGTTGCTACCCTCCAATGGAGGAAAAGAACAGTAACTTGCAATCCGTGTCCTAGAGGGCCATTGAAGGTCCATAGATTGAGTATGTTTGGTCTATTCAAAGTGTGTATTTAGTAGTGGCGTTGACGTGGCTAGATGCATTTTTCTGTCTCAATTCATTTATTTCCGTCCAATTCAATTCTTTCGTACTTCCAGAAGTCAGAGATAAATCACAAGTTGTTTTATGTACATTCATGGCATTGATGTCATGGAGGTTTTGGTGTAGAAAATCTGAGGAGACCTCTTTGCACGAGTAGATTGATAAGAGAATCATTCACACAGATTCTTGAATAGTAATCAAGAAATCTAACATTGAACTATTCATGGATTTTTGGAGTAGTATTTTAGGAAGTTCTGCATATATGACGATCGTTCTCCTAATACACACCTGCAGTAGAAATGATTGAATTGCTATTCACGGTAGAAGGGAAAGTAGAACCATTGTGAACATTCAAGCCTTGAAATGATGACTTGAGAAATGGGCGGAAGAATCTCAAGGGTTTGTAGCGATGACAGGACTGATTAAATACGAGCTGTCTGGTAGTGAGACAAGGGAGAATGAGGGAGGAGCAACAGATACATCACATGCTCCCAAGTCTTCAACAAAAAATATAAAATATCAAACATAGTATCTGAAGCAAGCCATAACTTCTTTGCTTTCCAAATGGTTTGGAACCCGGTTGCGAAATTGGTAGGTACAATCCAAAGAGAAAGGATACAGCTGAACATTTTATAGTGAACTGATTGCACTTTACACAGTTACAAAGGGAGAAGATACCTTGACGTTGCTGATCTAATACAGCAACAATTATATCAAGGGTGATGCACAAGGGATAGATGATAGCTTCAAGCTTTCAAATATCTTGATGACTATTTGGTCAACAGTTCACAGTAGCTTTGACAGTAAAGGCGAAAAAGCAGATGGGTCATGTGGGGAGTAGTGAGGGAAGAAAAGAGCGAAAATCCTGAGTAGGTGTTGGCGGTGAGACCATTGTAATGACATTGCATGAAGGAAAGGTGCTGCCATGTAGCTGCATGTAACATTTGGAGCATGTTCGGTTTGTGGTGGGTAAAATCTATCGGCAGGCGTAATAGTGGATGTGGAGGAAGTGAAAGTGGCGGATGATGGGGAGGGAGGGGCAAAATAGTAAATAGTCAATTCGAGGGGGTAAGTTCCAAGGGAGTACGTCCACAGATGGATGTCTACGATCGTCGACCACATGAGGAGGTAGCATACATGCAAAAACGGAAAAAAAGACATTTGAGGGACTGGAGTCCAGCACTGTGTAGTGCTTCACAGATATAGCCTATGTCACAATGTTCACGGTAATAGTAAGAGGGTTGCTGTTTGAAAGATTGATAACTAATCGTAATTGTTATCTGTTGTCATTAGCTCAGCGCACCATCGCTGGCTGAATAATGTACAGCCTGTAAGAACGCAGGTCCCCCATAAAATTAAAATGAACTCCATGCCGTAAAACCCTTGTAAGATACCCCCAAAGCATTATCATCCACCCCGATCCATCGCCAGTGTCAATCGGCCTAAAGCCGAAGCGCTTTCAAGCTGAAGACATCGAGAAGTCAAAAAAGAAACCAAATTTAACCACGCTCACCACGGAGACGACGGGCGAGTTGGATATCCTTAGATTGGATGGTGACACGCTTAGCGTGGATGGCACACAAGTTGGTGTCTTCGAAGAGGGAGACGAGGTAAGCCTCAACGGACTCTTGGAGAGCACCGATGGCGGAAGATTGGAAACGGAGGTCGGACTTGAAATCTTGAGCGATCTCACGAACGAGACGTTGGAAAGGGAGCTTTCGGATCAAGAGCTCAGTCGACTTTTGGTAACGACGGATCTCACGGAGAGCGACGGTTCCTGGCTTGTATCTGGAAGGAATTAACGATTGTTGGAGCAATAGACAGCAAGTGGGTAATCACCTATGGGGCTTCTTGACACCTCCGGTAGAAGGGGCGCTCTTACGGGCGGCCTTGGAAGCAAGTTGCTTTCTTGGTGCCTTACCACCAGTGGATTTACCTATGAAGCGTTAGCAATGATGCTCAAGTATTGATGTTCTTGTGGCGAAGTAGAGGGAGGAGTCGTGTTGTTGCAAATGGCGATCGGTTCCAAACGTGATGTGTTGCGACCGACGACGCGACAAAGAGGTGATGATTGAAAGACAAGAGAGAGGATGAGGATAATAACTTACGGGCAGTTTGCTTGGTACGAGCCATTGTTGATACTTCTAATGGATACTTTGATGGAGTTCTTTTATGGTTGTTGTGGATTGATGAAATTGCTGAAGTGGATATTCAAATGGTGGTTCTGTGATGTAGAAGAAAAGAGATAGAAATGGGCGATGGCGATTATTTGTATCCGAAAGTACGCTAGTGAGTGATTGATTTGGCTGTGCTTTTGTAGAAAAAACACGCT